AGTAATCAGGAATTGGAGAGGAAGCAAGGTTAGAAACGAGAGGGTTGGGATGATTCTGAAGTTTATTATGGAAGGATAGGTATCTGGATTGGGCCAGATCTGAAACATAAGGAACATTAAGATCTTTATGGATAATTTTATTAGTGACAAAGTAAGGAGCATTGAGGATTTTACGAAGGATTTTGGATTGTAAGGATTGGATGCGAGAGGAATTCGATGGTTTAGTGGAGCCCCATAGCTCAACTCCGTAAGTCCAGATAGGTCTTATTACAGTCAAGTATATGAGTCTTTTGTAATTAATGGGAAGTTTAGAGCGTTTGTCTAGTAAGTGCTGAAGTAATCGGAAACGTCGAGCGGTTTCTTGTCGTTTCAGTCTAGTGTGAGGATTCCAAGTTAGTCGTTTGTCCAGGTGGAGTCCTAGGTATCGGATTTGCTCGACAGGGATAAGTGGAGTATTGTTAAAGGAAACTGTAGGACAGGAAGTCGTTGGTGTACGACGAAGGGTAAAGGTAATTTGGTGGGATTTATTGGAGTTTGATATCAATTAAATAAAAGATAATTAGTTGATTTATATTAAATTAAAATTTCTTGGCACCTAAATAACACTACAATGCCCACACGCATAATTTTGGGTAGTCATCCTAAACACATGTGGTATTCCTTAAATTCAAGTTGCAGATAAAGTTTTTTATGAAATTAATCTTTAAAAATATATTTTTATATTTACTCGGTAAAGGTAGACCACCGACATGATACGACTCAATTTCAATTTAGCTTTCATATGAATAAAATTCATCGCCGATTTCACAGAAATAAAATCAGCCAACCGTAATATAAGTCTTCATCAATAAAACTACGTTATATGAATGTTCTCCACGGAATATATCAATAACGGATAATTGCACACAGACTTTTCATACTTTGTATTATAAAATAAAATACAGAATATTTAGTAATAAATTCTATAAATCACATGGCTGCAGCATCCTTAATAGTATAAGTTTTATTCACGCATCACATCCTAATTATTTTATGTTTAATGTACTTTAATATATCCATTAATTGTTTTCAATTTCGAAAAATGTGTAGGTTTGTATAAACAGATTATTAAAGCAAACATGGTTTGATGAATGTTCTTTTGATTACGATAGGCGCTGGAGTATACCATTCCGCGTAACATAACATTCAAGACTCAAGTTATGGCGAACTACGTGGATATTTTCCTATTTGAAGGACGAAATAATGTATACCATGTAAGCCAATGATATCATAGCTATATACTTTACACACAGTTTGAAACAGTTTTTCAATAGTTCGTACGTAATTTTCTATGCTTATCCTATTCGTGCAGAAGATGAGATTTCATAGTCTACGACTGTAATGAATAGACTGCTAATATGGATAATATTAGAGCGAAATATATACGAAATTATACAAATAAATCATAATGTTGCACTACAACATTGGCGATATGATATTTTTTGTAAGCAACTAGATATAACAGCTAGAATATTTTTTATAGGCAAGGAAATATAATCGCTATACTTTATGGCCTGTTTAAAAGCTTTATTATCAATAATTGACATTAATACATTTTAGTGGTGAACCTATGACTTCCTGCCCTACAGTTTCCTTTAACAATACGCCACTTATCCCTGTTGAGCAAATCCACTACAAAGGAATCCATCTGGACAAACGTCTAACTTGGAATCCTCATACCAGACTGAAACGACAAGAAACTGCTGGACGTTTCGGATTACTTTAGCACTCACTTACTAGACAAACGCTCTAAACTTCCAATTAATTACAAAAGCTTCATATACATGACTATTATAAGGCCTATTTGGACTTACGGAGTTGAGCTATGGGGCTTCTAAACCATCGAATTTCTCTCGTATCCAATCCTTACAATCTAAAATCCTTAATGCTCAATACTTTGATACAAATTAAACCATCTATGATGACCTTAATGTTTCTGATCTGGCCCAATCCAGATACCTATCCTTCCATAATTAACTTCAGAATCATCCCAACCCTCTCGTTTCTAAACTTGCTTCCTCTTCAATTCCTGATAGCCCTCCGATGGATGGCCCCGTGAACTCCTAATGCGGACATACCATTAGAGTGCTTCCATTGGGTAGTTTCTTAACATGTGTTTTCACGTCACTATATCCATATGTTCAAATTTACTAAATGTATTTCATTTATACAGTTGTAGATATCATAAAGAAATAAAAAAAAACATTTTAAATTTAAAAATGAAGGAAAACGCTGTAAAGAATAAACACAGATGATGGAAAAGCACAAGTATAACTATTCTAAAAACTAAACTCTAGAGTTTTGAATACTAATAAATGCCTGAAATCGATAGTGCCAATAGCATAATATAATATAACACAAATGCAATAATAAGGAACGATGTTTTACAAATGCTTTGATACATGTTTTGGATTATTGTTTATGTTACGATTAATCGGATACATATTACTGTATTTGTGTGATTGGAAAGCTGTCCTTTGCCTCCCTGTTTGTACATGCAGATTACCCAAACATTCATTGATTGCAGCGGCATCCCCATGGTCGTTTTGACATCTCTACCCAGCGGCTCATATAACCGTAGGTTATACTCTGAGATTGCAACAAACCGTAGGCACTTCCAAGTTTTTTTCAGTAGAAAGAACTAAAGTTTTTACGAAAGTTTAATATTGATATTGAAGGCTGGATTATCATGCGATAAAAAATTTGCAATAACGACTTAAAATTATGCTATTAATATTAAATTATCCAAATAGAGCAATTTAAAAAAATAAACTAAACGACTTTAACGAATAATTAACTTCTGCTGTCTATGAGAAATATTTCATTTTAAAAATATTTTAGCGGGTAAATTCTTATCAAAATTTATCCTAATTATTAAGATCTGATTTTTTGGTCAAATACACAACTTTAATGGATTTCATACATTCTTTCTAGTTCTTTTTTCAATAACAGATCAAATATAATATGCTTTATTTATACATTTTGAATATAAATAAACTTGGTTGTTATTTCGCATCTCACAGAGCTAGAATAAAACACGAGTACACAGACCAATACGGCGTATTTTCTTTCTCTCATTGTGGCAGTAAGATTTACAAAGAGACGGATGATTCCTGTGTCTTATATCACAGCTTTTCATGTTAAAGGCTAAAAGTATGAAATTGAACTATTCCGCTTAATAATCCTGTTCCATAAAAAAAAAAAATCTCATTATGAAAACTAAACCTAGCCTCAGAAAATCTAATTGTCTTGGCAGAATAACGACGCCGTCTCTCTACACAATAATGGATTCTCTAATAAAGACAAGATAGCAAGTGGAAGGCAAAAAAAAAACAGATAAATAAAACGGATCAACAAAAATGCTGAAGATTTGGAAAACTGGGAAGCAACAGAGTTTATTTTCTATTTTTTCACTCCCGTTAAGACTAACGTTTTAAAAATATATAGTTGAAGTAATACTCTCAGAGCGCGTATTATAAACATTTTCTAATATTATAAACTCTGCTGATATTTTTTTAATTAACTACATTTATTGAGAGATATTACAATCTGTCACAATTAAGGACATTTATAATAGTGTTCCGAGAGCACATTCACGCTCTATCAATAGATAATACAGAAAAAAACAATAATAATAAAAGTATATGTATATAAACTAAACCAAACAAAAAGAAACTAAACTAATAAAAACAACTACTCACATACATACATAATATCTGAAAAAAAAAATAAAAAATCATTCACCCAAGATCTCCGAGCAAAGCCTTTCTTGCAACTCGAGGAAGGAAAGGCAAGACTCTAGAAGATCCCAGCGTCTCTAAATTAGCCGCATTACTGGTATTAAGGACCAGTAGAGGCTGATCAGAGGCGCTATAATCACACATACATGGCTTGAGTGAAGAATCTGGCCACTGCCAAAACTCTAATGTACACTTATTCAGAAAAGGTCTCTGGGCCACTGCCGCTTCAACCTTCGAGGAGGATTGTAGGGATGGGTGGTGCTAGATAGGGATTGTGCAAGGGAATAAGGATGATAGGTAAGGTTCTGGTGAAATGTTTATTGATATTAAAATTGAAAAAAAAAATAATGAAAAATATTTATATATGGTATATATTTTGCGCTTTATTTATTTTTTGCAACTATTGCAACAGCTGTCAGAAAACATGACAGTGCAGTTTTGAATAAAATGGTTCTGCTGCAACACTAAGGCTCTATGTGTCTAAAAGATTTCTTCCAAGGGCATACGTTCACTAGTTTTTGGATTCAGGTTGAGTATAGAGGAGAAAAAAAATATAAGACATGTAGTAAATTCGTAGTTATAAACAAATTTAAAACTGCAATTAAAAATATTAGCTTTTTATTTATTCTTTTACTCTAGAACCTTTAAAAGACTAAATAGAATTCAATTTGAAAAAAAAAATCGAATTAAGCAATGTTGACATCAGTAAGACTAACAGACATATAATACATATACATAAATAGGCCACATGAGACTATTATGTTAAAACATGAACACGTAATTCTATTATTTAACTTTTTTATACACTCATTTTTAAAATATTTGGTATAAGGCTAAAATAAATATTTACTAAAAAGTTAATTTCCAAGGAAAACACAAAGCTATGAAAACAAAAGACAAGTCAGAAATTCATTATATCATGGCAAAAAATTTTATAGCAGTTTTTGCAATAGTGTTTACAATATTGTTTTGTATACAATAATATTTTTGTATACAATATTGTTTTGTATACAATATTGTTTTGTATACAATATTGTTTTGTTCTGTAATAGTTTAGAATTTTTGGTTACCCTTTTTTCGTGTGTTACTATAGACGCCTCAGTTTACTTTATCTAAACCATAAGTAAAGTCATCCCATCCGGTGTGATTTTGTTTTCTGGTTTGTATTAAAAGATTGTATCATTCAGAAAAATATTCAAAACTTCGATAACCATTTTGATATCACAGACCGGTACCGAGTACAACTTTCTTTTCTAAATAAATACCATGCTTCCCATCGGCTCCGTCCTGTTGCCCTGCTAACTCACATTTCCTTCGGCAACAACCGGAAAAAATCTTTAATGCCGTCCTCCTTGCGATCCTTTCTTCAGGCAGTCTTGTAATACCATGTCCGACGGCGGCTGTGCTGGAGCAGGATCTGAAAGGGCGAACAGGATATTTTTTTTTTCTATTCCTGCCAACCGTTGTCATCTCGACTATTATTCTTACTAAAGAAAAAAAAAAAAAAAAGAAAGAAACAATTGTGCCTCGAGAAGTACAAACGAAAGTTGGACAGCTACCCAATTGCAAAAGAAAATTGTAAAAAATGGAAAACTAATCTAAAAAAGACAAGACAGCTTATTACGAACTTAAAAGAGTGCTTTTTTTAATTTTACTTTTTATAGGGATATAATCCGACTATTTCAAACCAAAGTAATTTAACAACATGATTTTGTGTAGGTAAATACACATACACAAAAACACACATATATTATCTTCTATTTTTATTTTTTTAAATCCACCAACTATATCAAGGTTAAACTTCACAATGAAGCTTCAAATTTATTTTCAGGCCTAAAGAGGATCGATTTTCATTTTAAAATATTTTATTAACTATAGATAAAATGTACATACATTGATGGCGCTACATTACGTCACCGAGACTGGACCTCTTAGATATAATATGATTATTCAAGCGATATAAGTTAGCGTACTCTCACCACCACTAATGCACATCCAAAACGTATTTATTTCATTAATAATTTTACACAATATTTAAAGTTGTCTCTAAAATTCTGGTTAGGTATTAGATTTATTCAATTTTATTTTAGATTATTCCATACTAAATTATCCAACTAAAGTTCAATTTGACAAATTTTAATAAAAATTCATATATGTTAGGATATGCAAATAAGAATATGTCAAATTTTATCCTAGTCTATTATTTAAACTTTTGAGATATTTAAAGTGTTTGTGTTTTTCTATGTAAAATAAATAAATATGGAGCAAGAGTTTTCAAAACGTATTTATTTCTCCCGTGGAGAATCACTTTATAAACATGAAGAAAAATTAAATTTATGTTAAACACTTTTTTTTCCCTTTTTTTTAATCATTACAGGCAAATTATATTTGCAAATTAATTATTTTCATTTAATACTCTATCTCTCAGTATTTGACTAGTTAAATGGAGTTGATAGGGACAATTCAATTCATAATGATTTTTAATTAATAAAATAGGTTTCTTTCCTTGATAATGGCCTAAGGCTGAAACGTTGATGTAAAAAACAAATAAAGTAGGACTATAGTGATCAAATATGTGGTTTTTATTACTTTTACCAAATAAAGAAAGAAGTGTATAATGTATATACATATATATATATATATATAAACAAACTTTATCCATTAATCGAAATGGATTAGCTATAATAATGAAATTTCCAAGAAAAGGATCTTTACGCTGACGAGAGACTTCCCGACGTGTAAGCATCGTGCATGCTGAACTGAGGATCCAGTGATGAACCGAATTGTTCCGTGTCCTTGTACCATTTCTGCAGGCACACTGATACACCTGGTCTCAAGGATGTCCCTTATTAAATTAGATCTCCTTTAATTCATCCCACCATAACTCTTATTTATGCTTCATTTTTTTACATTCCAAGCGTAATGATATCAACGTAGACGATATAAGCTCATATTGGTTCATATTAGTCAAATTTATTATAAAATATGTAATAAAACCGTGATATGTAGGTACAATTATACTTTTTATTTGTACAACCGCTTTGAAAAGGTTAATTCACACAATAATTGCCCTATTCTGTCACATTTTTGAATAGACCAGAATTTTTATATTTATTAATTTTTAATCCTGTGCAGAACAATTTCTATAAATATAAATTATATTTATATTTATTATAATGTAAAGTTTTATATATATATATATATATATATATATATATATATATATATATATATATATATATATATATATATATATATAGAACATCGATCGACCCAATTTCGAACCCAGAACCTTCACTTATTATATTTATATAATGTAAATTACATAGGAATACAACAAAATATAAATTATATTTAAACTATCTCAATTCAATATAATTTTATTAAGCTTAAAGGAAAAATATAATTCTAACAAAATAAGCCATTCCTATACAGCTCAATAAAATACATAATATATATATATATATATATATATATATATATATATATATAAATATAATTATGTATAAATGATCTTCAAAACTGGTTCGAAAAATGGAAAATTAAAATTACCAGTAGCAAATCCACCCATGTGACTTTCTCTCTTAGAAAAGCCTCATGTCAACCTATAATCATTGACAATAACCCAGTGCTTTCAAAAAACTATATACGGTACCTCGGACTCTACTTAAACAAAAAACTTACCTGGAACATACATACTAAATTAAATAGACAAGAACTAGATGATATAATCAACTCTCACATCTTCTGGATCCTCACTTGACTTACGAAACAAGCTACTGATCTATACAAGACCGTACTGAGATCTATTTTGACATATGGAGCAGAACTTTAGGGTTCGATAAAACAAACAAACATTAATAAAGTACAAACAACACAATAAAAAACTCTACGAAAAATTTTCAACTCATCTTGGTATATTTCGAATAACACTAGACACGATTCCTTTTAGGTGTTGATTTATAATGAAAACTAAAATTTATGAATTTGAATATATATAATCTACATGTCCCTTTTTTTCTTTGATATCATTAAAAAAATGTATACTTTTTTTTTTTTTTTAGATGTTAATGTGTCAAAGCTCTCTTGATACTCATTTATAAACACGTGTCAAACTTGATAATCCGAGATAGCGGGATGTACTTTTAATAGATCAAACATAAACACACACTCTACCTGAAAACAATGGTAAGATTAACATAACTTTAGTGCAGGATAGCTAAAATTGAAACATTTAGGATATTATGTGGATCGAATTACAAAGCGTTAACTGTAAACACCGGCTCATGCTGCAGAGAAAACTAAAACTTAACTGCTGGCGAATGATAAAATGGTTAGGTGAGCTCGCTGTTTTCGTACACCCGAATAAGTGATAATATTATTAGGCAAAGTAAATATTTTAACATCGATCGAAGCAGTTTCGAACCCAGAACCTTCACAACGTTAATATTTATATAATATAAATTACATAGAAATACAACAAAATATAAATTATATTTAAACTATCCCAGTTCAATATAATTTAATTAAGCTTAAAGGAAAAATATAATTCTAACAAAATATGTCATTCCTATACAGCTCAATAACATACATAAAATATTCAATTTAATAAAAATATTTGAAAAATAAATTAGTTCCGCTTACTTGGAATATTTATGAAAGAATTTGCGAATTCATTATTCTAGCATTAAATCTCTTACCTGAAATACTAAATCATGCAACATTTTCCAAGCAGATTAAAAAAAAAATAGTTCATTCACACCTTGTTGTGAAACTGCCACCTCCATCATGCCATGATTGTCAATCTATTATTTGTGTCAAAAATATATTTGAGGAATGAACTCACTACATTAAAAGTATAAATAGAATAGGATTGACTATGAACTTGTATGTAGCTCTTTATGACAATGGAACTTCAATCACATTAGTATTTGAATTTTTAAAAACAAATCACCTCTGTTCTAAGTTTTTAAGTTTATCTTCAAAGAAACTAGTATTTTTGTTCTATTTCATTCTGCTATTTATAATTTTTATCAATTATGTTTTTAATTCATATAGTATCTATAATTAGAATGAGTCTTTTTTTTCAATAAGCCTTTTATTTTCCTTACAAATCTTTATAGTTGAAACAAACCGTAAACGTTGCGACAATGTCTTTAAACAGAAACAAACAAATAAAATATCCTAAATCAGTATTTTTCGTAAATTATTTTATTTATTTATTATTAATGGTTATTGGCTATATTTATAGTGTCAGTAATATATTCAATAGAGCTGTTTCGAAATTATTATTTTCTTTCAGATTTACTAGACAGGTATGTTTGTTGAAACACGAATGATGTTCCATCGTAGTAGAATGTTATATTATTTAAAAAATAAACATTAGTTATACCCTGCAAATAATTAGCAGAAAATGTGGTTTAGTAAAGGAATACAGTGTATATAGGTATGTATGTGTTCTTTTTATTTATTCACACTCTATGTACAATAAATAAAACAAATTATACAGAAAAATATGATATATCCAATAAATAAGAATAAAATAATTTATAATTTAGTTATTTTATTCTTATTTATTGGATATATCATATTTTTCTGTATAATTTGTTTTATTTATTGTACATAGAGTGTGAATGTGATCACTGAACACTATTATAAATGTCCTTTGAGATAGATTGTAATATTTTTCAATAAATAAGTTTAAAAAAAAAATAAAGCAATAGCGAAACAATATGTAAATACGTAGATCTACGTGTATACTGTGAGGAAGGAATTCCTTGTTTTTCCTTGGTGAATTTCAATATTCTATTTAACATAATAAACCAAAATATTTGTACGAATTGCTTGGCTAGGGTCTATTTTTAAGCACTGACTGGAAAGGTAATATTCAAAAGCCTCGATCATGGGATTTTCTAAATTATTAAAGAATATAAAGTGTATGAACAAAAAACTTTCTTTAGGAAATAATAAAGTTTATTTCAGCCAGGAAAAAAGAGTAGTAGAATAGTAAATGTTCTTTAAAGAGGAAGAAATTATTAAGTGAACTAAATAAAATGGACTGTATCTTTGTTGATAATTGTCAGATTTATACGATTTTTTGTTTGTAGATAATTTAGTCATTTTTATAATAATCGTGGTACAATAAAAAATACATACTTCAGTTATTCGTAAATAGGTTCTCTTTTCCTTCATAACTTTGTTTCCTGAAATTTCGGAGGGAGGAGAGTCTATTTTTCGCCGGTGAAAGAGAAGAATATCTTCAAACTGAGTGGTCAATCATCTGATTTGATGAAGAATGTTATGACGTAACGACAAAAAAACCCACTTTATTATTTTAGAAATAACAAATAAAGATATATCAGTAAGCACATCTACTACAACCTATGAAGGGTTTTGGGTTCAGTATAGTGAAGAAAATACTGTTTCAAGGTAAAGGAAGGTGATCTGGTCTGGATTACGATCAACCGCCAGGATTTTACCCGTTATTAATTAGGAATATCTATTCTATAGAGGCTGGGTATCCTCCAGAAAGGTCTACCAACTCTAATTGTCAACAACCAGACTAGAACCGAGATCTTTGGCTTAAGAAGTCAGTTCTTACCCCCGAGAATCAGCTATGTACCAAGTATTATTGAGAAAACTCCATGAAACATCGCTTAATCCTCATGCGAAAACTTTCTCCCTTTAATTTATTAATACATCCATAGGGAACTTTCAAATGAGAAATTGCAAGGGAACCTCCAGTACCGATTACCACGGCACATCCTTGACCCTTCCGATATTGCGAAACGAAGAGAGCATCGTGACCCCGCCTGACCAATCGACAACCCATCGCTATCGATCCACAAATCAATTAACAATTAGTAATAAACAATTAAACAAAAAATGATTAGCGCTGATAAGATAGGAGAAAGATATCCAGCGGCCCGTGTCATAGCCCCTTAATGCAGCCGGTTTCCTCAGCTTGTGAAACTTCTCTATTGTTTTTAGGGTCGTTTACGAGTTAGCCATTTTATAACCATTGACAAACTTTTCTCCCTCGATTACACACAAGGGAATGGCTTGGGGTACTATTTACAAAAATCAGTCATGAATATTCAATAAACGTTACTACTTCTATTTATGAAAGACGTTCGTGAGAGCCTAAAGATTTTTTCATCAAAATCAAGAAACTACATGAACATAATAATAATACTGAAACAATTATTGCATTTTTAAGGATAATTTATTAAAATAAATATTATAGCAAATCTTTTAATAAATTAGATGATGGAAAGATGAGTTATAGAAATATAAACATTTTTTATTTATTTAGATATATAATAATCTGACACATGGACAATAATTATAGTGAGATATGAACACATCCACACCATATTTGCAGACAATATAAAATTAACAAAAGTAAAATAATAACTAAATAATAAGCACTAATTATGTACAATAAAAAATAAAATAACTTAAAGATAAGAAAATAAAAAAAATAAAAACATAGTCATACCTATATACAATATGGCAGAGAACTCCAAGCCCGGCTTATCCCATCAATTATAGAGGGAAAAGCAGGACTCCAAGAGATACCTCCGCTACTCTGTTAACCGCGTCACTGGTGCTAAAGCCAGTGGAGATTGAGCGAGAGCGCTTTAGCCACATACACTAATGTCTTGAGTGGAGAATCTGGCCATTGCCAGAACTCCACAAAATATATATTGCATATACCACAAAATACCTCTGAGTCACTGCCGCTTCAATCTTCGAGGAGGATTGTAGGGATGGGTGGAACTATATAGGGATTGTGCAAGGATTTGTAAGGTTCAGATGTAATTCGGAAAATTTTTCAGAGATAAGGTCTAAATACAGCTTGCAGAATATTTATACTACATCACAAATATTACAAAAATCTTATATAAGATAACTTACAAATCAGACAGTTAAAATAATACCATCATTAAAATTAATATAAAATATTTAAAAAATATAAAATTGTCAACAGAACGCAAGCACAATAACAATAAATATATTTTATTTTTTCAATATTAATATTGAACCCTGTTTTAAAGTTAAAGTAAAAAATTACTCGCATAAACATAGAAAACAAGACGTGAAGAGATTCCAGTCCTACATCGAATCTAAAAATTTTCTGTAATATTCAGAAGATAATATTGAGTTAATACCTCCCAAATTCTCAAATATTTAAGATATAATAGATGAAAAAACATAATTTTCTAATAAGTATACACTCCATTAAGATTTTCCATTCTTGGTAAATTATTGCTTTCAAACTATTATTATTTAGGCATTTGAATAATACATGATAAAGTATTACTTTTTCCACCGTGTTGCACATTTTGTTCTCAAATTGAGGAGAGATTTTTACAATTTTATTGTAATCTGAAACCTTGATCAGGTAATAATCAATTAAAATTATTAATTTTCCAGGAGGCAAGAAGCTTGTTTTCTGTTCTTAAGAAGTTCGAGAAGCATCAACACTAATGGTATCACTGTACGTCAAGAAAAATTTGTTAACTTAGATAAAAGGAAACAAAAAACCTCATTAATATAGCAGAAAACAGCATTCAATCATTTCTTAATGTTTTTTTTAAACAGCGGTCCCTACAAGGCGTAAAGTAAATGAGTTATTATATAAGGATTGCCAGGCAATATGATATTTCGCATAATATTGTGCATTTGCGAACCGCTTAAAAGGCAGGAGGCATCCCCACCTCTTACCACCGAAGGAAATTCGAAATTTCCTGTCCCCCACCTCCAGCGATCCTCATTACCTCGAAATTCTGGGTAGTATTTGTCGCTCGGCTGTTTCCTCTACTTAGAGGATGCGTCAGCAATTGCTAAGAGGGTGTTATATCTGCAAATGCCAAAGGACCGTACCATATGTTATGTCAGAGGAGAACGAGAGATGAAAGTTTATCTTCGACATATGTCTTCTGTGATGCGTTTTTTAACGGTGTCGTACAAGGGGAAACACTTTTATATTTTTTCTTGCATTGAAAGAAATCATACAAGAGAAATTATAAGGATGTGTACGTTTGTTCACGAAGGATAAATGCAATGTATGGGCACGTCCTGGCTTGCTACAGTCTTGCGTACGAGACCAGACCGCTAGTGGGGGATAACCGTTGCAATATGCAATATCTCACACCGGTTCAATATTTTGATACGGACCGATGCAACTACCAGAGGTCATCAACTCGCGAATGAAAAAAAAAAATCAATAAACTCTATTTTATAAAAAAATTATAATTTAATAATAGCCAATTGGTTAAAAATTTCAGATATAGTACTGGTAAAGATAATTAATTCAAATATTATTATTATTTCAAGACATTTGAAATTAAAACTCAAGACAGACATTGAACACATATATTTACCTATTCAAGCCCATTTGGACATACTTTTCATGGGTGATAAATATTCAGGACGCAGCCTTATTAAAAAAAAAAATTTTAATTTTTTATTTATGTCAACGTTTCAACCTAGTAGTTGAACACCCTCAGTTCTCGAACCACGTCCTGAAGATGACCCATATTTTGGTTGAAATGTTGGCATAAATAAAAAACCAAATTTTTTTTTTTTAAAAAGACTGCCTCCTGAATATTTATCACCCACGATATGTAGAACAGTCGACTAACTTACTTCAATAACTACAGACTTTTCAATCAAAAATTTTCAGGACTATCACCAAGGCTCTCTAGTATGTAATAATATTACTTTCCATAAAGAAATGTATATGCCAACAGTTCACGACAACATACGAACAAACTAAAAAATATTTTACAATAACTTGCAAGGGCATAACAACTCATAGATTTGAGGCATGACCACAAATAAAATGCCCGATAGCAACCGCAGGAGGCTCATAAGAATCTGGATGAGTGATCTCCTCCACTAACTAATATATTATAATCAAGACAGAAAGGACTCCGCTGGGCACTCCTCTCTCCCTCACGCCTATTCCCATCATCCACATTTCAACATCACACTCGCTGGTTGTCTTAACTTCTGACAGGTGTAAGTTTAAAAAAAATATTATCCAACTTGAAAGGCTCACTTATCATTTTTATTGTATTTTTTGTAGAAAGAATTAATAAGGGTTTCATTTTATGCATGTACTATTCTTTATTAGCTTTCAGGTTTTTGTTACCCATTTTCAAAAGCTGATAATTATCATGATTGAAAAATGTTTTATTTTTTTTTATAAGCTTATTTATTGAAAAATATTACAATCTGTCTCAAGGACATTTATAATAGTGTTCACAGATCACATTCACACTCTTTGTACAGTAATTAAAATAAATTATACAGAAAAATTATATATATACAATAAATAAGAATAAAATAACCTAAAAATAAATAAATAAAAAGAACACATGCACACCTATATACAATATTTACAATTTGGCGAGAGAACTCCAAACCAGACTTGTCCCTCCAACTGTGGAGGGAAAAGTATGACTCCAGGAGTTCCCTGCACTCCTCTCTCAACCGCGTCACTAGGGCTAAACCCAGTGGAGAATTAAAAATTAAATTATAATGTATTGGTTAATTTTTAGGAGCAATGACAACGAAATGATATTAATATTATTAATCGTTTCTTAAAAAAATTTAATATATCTCATTAAATAAAGTTTGGAAAATAGAAATTAAATGAATTGGAAAATAAATTTTTTTTTTATTAATAATTTATTTTTTAAATGATCAATTAGTGTTACTTAATGAGATTATAAACTCTACCGAAATAATTCCTCTCTGATCGACGTCAGCTCTCTGTTTCGTAAAACCATAACAGAGTACGGATTTTTATGCAATATTATACTGTGTTTAGTTTTTAAACTGATAATCAATAATTTTGCAATCACAATATAATAAACAACTTATTACAAAAATCTGAAATCAGAAAACAAATGAACAAAACAGGATATAACCTAATTTAAGGGCAAAGAACGAATTTCGTTTGTTCCATGTTATGCAATTACTTCAAGTTTTTCTTCGTCGGTAATGCTCTTTAAGCGTGCCTTTTATTTTAGTACGAAGGGTAATGAGAAAACGTAGGGTACTAAAAGGCAAGTGGAATTTCAAAAGCTAAATTTCAACTTTAAATAAAAGTTCTTAAACAAGTGTTTTGAAATTTTATCCATGTCTGTAACAATAATTAACTTTAAGTTTTATATAATGATCCTTTGAATTTTAATAGTATCCTTTATGATTGAATTGAAATTTCAAATCGTATTTGTAGCATTTTTGTCACTCTATCACATGTGTTTATTGTTTAATAAATATATATATATATATATATATATATATATATATATATATATATATAAAACGATTTATCCACGCAAACCTATTTTGCGGGTAAGCGTGGAAATAAAAACCAATCTTCATGTCCCTTTAACAAGTCAAGAGTTTTATCGGCGGTAAAAAACAAGAAAATAAAGGTCTGATTTTGTGTCATAAGTAAATAACTGTTCAACGATTTCATTGTAAACTATGTTTTCCTTAAACAGATGAAATATGCCTTATAGTTTAAATTTACGTTTATAATAAAATAGCAAATATTGTTGTGTACTAAAACAATTCGTATCATTGTAGCAACATCAAATATATAATGAGTTTCTCTATGATGTTATAAAATATACAAATAATATAAAGACTCCAAGAAAATTGATTTATAAAAAGATTTTACGGTTCCAACAATTACATAAAAAAATTGAAACGAAACGCTTACAACTATATAATAAATAACTCATAATTTATGGCTTATAAAACCTTCACAACAGTACAGTATTAATTTCTGATAAGAGCAATTCTTGTTCCTAGAATTTTTTGTATATTTCTTGGTATATTTTATATTTCTTAAAAGGAACATTTATTCACTCATGACGTTATGTATGCTTTGTAAATTGAAAAAATGTTGAGCAGTCCAATACAATATCATAACTAATCAAAAAATATAAAGCATTGTAAACAAACGTTAGTTTTGCTACAACGAAGAGAGAGTTGTTGGAAAGGGTATGTTAAAATATCCGTGCCAACCGGGTCAGTACCTGTCTCTACGCAAACTACATAAGATTTCTCTCTTACATAAAAATAAAATTTCCCTAAATACACTTTATAAATATATGTTATTTAAACATGTTTTGCAACTAATGATGCTAAATACACTATTGTGTAAGTAATGTGTACTCATAAATAATACATGGTATCTTACGGAGTTCTTTAAAAGATATTTTGTAAAAACAATAAAATTTAATAGGCACAAGATAACGTATAAATTACGCATGAGGTTTAATGATGGGTAATAAAATGAATGAACCATGCAATCGCCGACTTTATGAGTTCAGTGTAAATAATTTATATTTACGGTTATGCTATTACAATACCGTTAGTTATTCGAATTGCTTGAATATTTATCAGCTTGCTACAATAATAGGAAATTATTTTATTTAATTACTGGATGAAATATAAAACACATTAATCATATTGTCGGCTTATTGCAAAAAGTGAACTTTGGATGAAGCTAAACATTTTAGGAAAGTTTTGTGAATTCCGACCTATTCATAGGTGAAAAAAATGCATTATGCACATCAAAATGACACAAAATCTATTATATATATAAAATAGTTACAGAATGTTCTGATTTTAGAGAGAAAAAATTCATCAATGTACTTATGATTTGATTTGATAAATTGTTTTTGAAATACTTCTTGCAATATACCGACAACATATCATACAGTCGTATAGTTAACAACAAGAATTTTCAACTTATAGGATGTTATGTGAGTTAAAATATGACAACAAATTTAAAACATGTGGTATTGTGTAATTATCAGAGAATTTCAAAACAGAAAAACAAACATAGTAAGATTTCAAACAGGAGTGACCAGAAGGAGGTTTCATGGCGCACATTTGGACAGTTTTTTTAAATTATTGAGGAGAGCACATTTCGACGGGGAATTTTCTTAAAGAAATGTTTCAAATCAAGGCACAAGAGAAAAGCATAGAATATACCGGTGAAAGTGTATATGACCTATCATTTTCAAAGTTTTACTTTAGCTTACACTGTAATTAAGAAGAGGAGAGCAATAAAATATCTTGGCAGGATGAGGGAAGTTCATGCGCCATATATCTTGGGAGGAAGAGGGAGGGGGCACTTCTGGTATTAATACCATTGAAAAACTTATGTTTTTCAATGACATGTCCATGACATCTAATCTTATACTAAAATACCTGTGACCTGGAGGTAAAAGACAGTATATTCATTTTTTTATTAAATAATTTAGTAACATAGAAACAAATATTAATATCTTAGAGCTATGGAAAATTAAAAATAAATAAAAATAAATAAAATAAAAAATAACAAAAAAAGGTTTTTTACCTCCGGGGTACAGACTTAAGAACTAAGTAAAAAACATATTTTACTAGCTCAAAATAATGTACATAGTTACTCGGCTGGTCTGTTGTTTTAATTATCTTGTATATTACTTTATCTTTTTATTTATATATATATATATATATATATATACTTTTTTTTTTTCTTTTCTTATGTACATACTGTGTGAATGAATACTATAGTCCTAGTACCAATGCCCTTCAATGTGGCAGACTGTATTAATACTCAATAAAAGTTTTTAAAAAAAAACTAGCTCAAAATTATGGAAAAGTGGCTCCCCTGAACAAATACAAAAATGGATATGGTTTTTTTTACCTCCGGGATACAGATATTCAAAAAATAAAATATTTAAGGCAGAATAGTACAATT